CCAGGCAGCTCACCACCAGGGAGCTCGTCACCAGGCAGCTCACCACCAGGGAGCTCGTCACCAGGCAGCTCACCACCAGGGAGCTCGTCACCAGGTAGCTCACCACCAGGGAGCTCGTCACCAAGTAGCTCACCACTAAGGAGCTCCACCATCCTCTCTTGGGAGCAGGCCAAATGACAAGGCACTTAACCAAAGAAATTGATACATCACAAAAATTGGTACGTGACTAGAACCAGTTACATCAATATGCATATTAAAATTTTATATATTTTTACAAATCATTAATTAATATTTTAATTTACATTAATAACAACATATTTATTATTTATAGAAAAGAAAAATATCATTTATAAAATATTTAAGAATATAACATTAAATTGAATTTAACAAATCTATTAATCTAAATTTATTTCAAAAAATTATTTTTCATATTAGAAAAATTATATAAATAAAATATTAATAAAGGAATAATTATATTAGTAATTAAAAATTATGAATTTTTATATGATATGTATATTATAAATTTTAACAAATTTAATATACTTTAAATTAACATTAGATTTTTATAAATTATTAATTTGTATTTTAATTTGTACTTGAGAATTTAATATTTAGTTGACTTTTTGTTAATGTTAAAAAATTAAAAAAGTACAATAAAAATAATTTATGTAATAATTAAAATATAATAGGTGCATATGTTTAGTGCCTTGGACTCTTGATTGATGCATTATTAATAAAATTATATAATATATATGCATCCTGATATATTAATTATAATGTATTTCTTCATATATATCACTAAAATATACATTTCCTATGTATTTATATTCTATTTGTGATTATTTTGATCTTAAATTTAATGATATTATTATATTTACAAAATTTGTATGTATTTTCCTAGTGTATCCATGCATTTTCATATTTTTCGTTCATATCCATGCATTTCCAAAGCATATCCGTATTCGTATCCAAGTTGTCCAATATGATACTCGATATCGATACTTTAATCCTTCGTCCTAACATACCAATTTATGAATAGTTGGGATCCCCTCCCAACAAAAATTGTCCCAACATGATCTGTGTCTGCATATCACCATAAGACTGGGACTCACCATTTATGGAATGTGTGGACACAAATCAAGTTGGAATGTATTGGAACATTTTTTGTTGGGATGAGATCTGGACTCGTATGTACAAATAATTGAAGGAGAAAATAATTTACAAAAAGCATAGTATTGACAAAATACTTGGATACAAAAACAAAGTGTCTCTCAAAGAGACGATGCAAAATCTGCATTATATAAGACTCACATTTTGAAACTCTTCATGGACAAGCATCCAATCCAAAAAGATTGAACTAATATCAGCATAAAGATGCCTCTTATTCCAGGCTTCCCTTCAAAACTGTGTCAAGTCCTTTCTATTCACATCCCCCAGCAATCTAGAAATAGGACGGTAACTTCAATATATTTTGGTTTTCCTGCTACCACCAAAAGATGGCGACATGGCAAAGATCTTTTGTAGCAGTGAGGAATGATGCCATGATTTCCTAAATAGAGCAAGAAAGAGAGTCCAAATGAAGCATGCCATGCTGCAAGTAATAAACAAATGACAAACATCCCCTAATGAAGGCCTATGCCTAAGAAACTAACAAGTCTGAAACACCAACTCTTCAAGTGATTGAGAATCTATGCTCTCAAATGGAATAAATAAGCCATGCAATACATCAATCATTCATAGGGTGCAACTTGGGCAGGCCCAACCCTAACCCACAATTTTACACTGGCTGAGTTTGGGCCCAAAAAGTCCAAGCATTTTTATTTTTTGAGATGGGCCCTAACCTAGCCCTTAGGTAGCCCAAACCCAGCCCGACTATGTACATATATGCATATATAGATACATTTGCATGCATATATGCACATATGCATACTCTTTTTTGGTAAACCATACATATATGCATACATTTATATCAAATTTTAATGTTGGTTGATTAACCAAACCAAGCCCATCCCAAGCCTTGGACAGTTACCTTGGGCACAATTTGGGCTCGCGCCTTAGGAACAATTCTTAGGGTTATGCCTGGATTGAGTTTAAACCCAGCCCAGCCCACCCAACTTGCACCTATAATCATACATAGGCGGAGCTGGACAACCCCAAAACTTTACTCTTGGTATAATTCCATCAACCTTCGATGTGTTGCAGCATCTTTGGCTCTCTCACTCTATCATCTTAAGATGATCAATCTTTTTCCATAGAGGTTTCAAAGTTCAAAATAGAGTAAGGAATTTCTCTTACCGTTTGAGATTATTTTCCTTACTTCAAAGCTAGTAGGCTTGAGCAACATTCAATACCTGAGAATTATGATTTAGATACACTATCCCATATTTCTTTTGTAGTTCTCATACACATAGTTTTTGCTAAGATTGGGTTGCATTAACACTAACCTCTCTTGTAATCAACAAGCATGCTTCATGCCTATTGTATCTGGCTCTAAATCAACTCCTATAAGATGACCAAGCTTTCCATGACCTCCATTGTACATAAGAGCAAGCTTATCCCATTCAAAATGATTACTCCCATCCAATTTCATAGTTGTTATCTAGGAATTTGAACACTTCCCTGCAAACTGCAATACCCAAAGCAGTCCCAAATAGG